CCTTGAGATGCTACGGATTTTTTCCCTGATTTTCTTAAACATTTCTGACATGAATAGTAAGCAGAATCTCAAGCTGTGATTCCTTTTCATGCCAGGTTGTGGTTTCCAGGGATGGTTTTTGCTTGAAGGGTGCTCAGCTCATTTGGCTGGAACCTCATGCTGACGGAGATGAGGTCACAGCACAGGCTCTGGACCTGCGTCGGACAATTAAACGTGTGCCACTCCATGCCCCCGACTACTCTCCTAATCCCTGAAGTGATGCAGATGATTGCTTTCGCTCCAAGTGGAGATTACGTGAGCACAGCAACACACACCACCACTCCTGCAAGCCCCCGAGAAAGTGCAGGTCCTGCTGAGAGCGGGTCACTGCAGTGTAAGAAGCTGGTGTGACTTTATTTACGCAAAAGCAGCAGGCATGACTTCCGGGGAAAATAAAGTCTTGCCGTTGGATTGTTCCAAAAATGCCCCTAAGCTTTTGATCAGCCTTTTGAAAGAGGGTCACTACATCCTTTCTTCCTAATTTTAATAGCAGAAGAAACAGGTACTTAAATTAACAGCGGCTTACATCCTGAGCTCAACAAAAGTGACCAAGCACAGCTCTTTATTAGCTGCTTTCTCCTCCATTAATGCCATTCCCTTTCATGGTTTGGCTATTACAATTAGCCAATCTGCGGTGTTCCTGCCTTAGGCTAACGGGTAATGAACTGAGAGTTACTATTTAGTTGTATCAAGGGTGTCATTAGAAAGGTTTCTCAATTTCTCCCCCCAAAGGAGAGATACCTTCCAGGCATGTTCTACCTGCCATGTGACTGCCCTCCTACAGAATTTACAGTGCAGTGTCTCCAGCCCGGGGAATCATGGGACCTTAAAAACTGGGCAGAGGAAAGGATGGGGGGCAGGCTTCTGCAGAGCCCACAGGCAGAAGGCGCCCAAATGGTTGCTTTGAACCTGTGCTTTCATTCCTCCCTCTCTTCCTCCCTTCCCTTCTTCTGCCTGATAAACCCTTCACTCCCCACCCCTAGCAGCTTTCTGCTTTCTGTTACAGCATCACTCTGGGCTTTGCTCATCTTCATCTCTTTCTTGGGTTACTGTATCTGGACGTCTTGTAAAAGGAAGAGCATCAGATTAAAAGAAGCTAGAGCTCAAACCCACAGCCTTAGCTGCTTGCTGGGGATGACTGGAGGAGAGCCAACTCAGACCTCCTTTCAAACTAAAAAGGGTTTTGCCCTGTGATTTATCTTCACAAGATGTCTATAGCTTAAATGGCCCACATGCCTGATAAGAAGGTTTTAAAAACTTTGATACCAGAGCAAGGTTTACATTCTAATTCACATGAGGGTAATCCCCAAAAATGCTGAATAAAGTCTTAAAATGGCAGCCCCAATGAAGCTGTCTGCACGAAGTCCTACAAGGTCCTAAGTGGATCCAGCCCATTTCCAATGAACCAGGAGACGCCCCCTCCCCCTGGATCAGCAAGGAAAAGACCGGGTTACAACCACTGCCATGCTCACATTGAACAAAGCCCCTTAGTCTACCTATATCAGATAATTCCTGGGTTGCCTCAGGCTGAGAAATAAATACAAATAGAAAAAGCCTTGTAAACTCGACCTAGAGTAACAAGCGCAAATTCAATCTGGAAAAGATTTATATCTCTGCAAAATGTTTACAACCAGAGTAATTTTCAATAAAACCATAGGAGAGCACTGTGCTTAAAAGGCAAAGTAAAAGAAGTCAGCATCTCCTCAGTGTTGCTGTCTGAGAAAATGGCATAACAATTCCCACCTTTACTGCCACATGATGCTATTGTAAGGATAAATAAGGTAAAGCTTATAAAATACTGTGTTTCTTGAAACGAAGGCTCTCTATAAATGTGAGGCATTTTATTATAAGGAATTGAGACATCTCAAATAAAGCTCTGCTTTGTATGTGTGCTTTAATAAGTAAACTTGTCTTTAGGGTGTAAAATGAGAAATTAATTTCATTGAAACGAAGACTGAAGATGACAATGACCTCACTATATGACTGACTGTGGAACTGGGGCTGACTTGATCTTTTTCCCCCCAACCTCCATCACTCTAAAAAGTAATATAAACAACATCAAATCCTGATTAAGAGTGTCACACATCTGCTATTCCTCTTTTAGAAAAACTTTTCCAGAAGTAAGAACCATCTTGGCAAGTAATTTCTACTTCTACTTGTCAAAAATCATAGAAATTCCCTGATTCTTAGACCAAGATTCTTTTTTAAAAAAAATATATTTTATTGATTTTTTACAGAGAGGAAGGGAGAGAGATAGAGAGTTAGAAACATCAATGACAGAGAAACATCGATCAGCTGCCTCCTGCACATCTCCTACTGGGGATGTGCCCACAACCCAGGTACATGCCCTTGACCATAATCAAACCTGGGACCTTTCAGTCCGCAGGCCGATGCTCTATCCACTGAGCCAAACCGGTTTCAGCAGACCAAGATTCTTTATAGGAGCTCTCTGTGGTCACAGTGAGAAAGCTCTGGGAGTTTCATTGTTGACAACTGTTTACTGAAAACTCAGTTTTGCTGACAACGTGAATATTACTATGAAAAATGCCATCAGCATCAGTACCATTCTAAAAATGACAGGAAATAAAAGTATGTGTATGCACGACGACATCAGTGATTAACAGAATATTAAGCAGCTTGAAGTAATAAGGAATCTGAGGTCTGGCACTCTTGTAGTCCTGTTGTTAATGCTATTTAATAGTTTATGTTACGTAAGATCCCTGCCTTCGTTAAAACAATTAGTGCTCAACAGTACATGAAAAATACGCTTGAATTTCCACATACTTCAGGAACTCAGGACCAGCTAACAATTTAGGAAACACACATTTTATATCAGGTATTCTGAATCTTAACTGCACCCCAGAATCATCTGAAGAAATCTTAAGGGGGGAAAATAATCCCAGCATTCAAGGAAATCGGCCAGGCACCAATATTTTTAAAGCCCCCCCCCTCCCCGCCCCCACCCCCATGATTTCAATATGCAGAGGAGTAAGGCTGAGAATCACTGTTTTAAATCAAGACAGAAATAATAAAGTCAGGATACACATGAAATGATTATCTTTCACAATAGGTTTTTAGACACTTTTCAAATCAATTTGCCAACTGTCCTTCCCTCCTGAGTAACTGCTATTGTTCTGCTTTTAACCATAAAATGTAGATTATCAGTATAATTCAGGCAGTTAGTTCCTACTCGGTGACTGCCTGGCCAATATATGAACAAACCGCTCAGACAGGTGTGCCTGCTATGGTTCCTCTTCTTTCCCAACTGCCTCTGGAGTTCCCCCATCCCCACCCCCAGGAAGTCTGATTAGCATCTCCTCCTGTAGCTTCTCATGGAGCCCGTGTGCCCAGCATGAGCTGCACTTGTAGCAGGAGCAAGACAAGGTTAATGAAGGAGAAGCAAGAAGGGACGGAAACCCATTCCACTTCTGACCTGCCCTTCCTTCCCCTTCTCCCTCCCAGAAGGCTGTCTTGTGCTCAAGCCCCAGACGCCCTTCTCCTGCTCAAGAATGAATCCCCACCCCGTCGCTTTTCTCTAGAAGAGGAGCGTGATCCCCGAGCTGGCTGTCAGGGCGGCCTTTGTGCCACTCCAAGGTGGCGAGTGCGACATGTAGGGCTTTTTTCTCCTCAAAGTAACCTTGGTACTAGTGGTTAGGTCTCTGTTTTTGCACAATGAACTATCAACTGATTGTAATTTTTTAAAGAAATGCTTTGAACTCCAAGCAGCTAACTTCTTAATAAAATCTTAGAACCCTGAACTAGTAAAGAGGCTGCTAAGGTCTTAAGACAGTTACGGTCTTTCAATGACATATGCTCCTAACACCCTGGGGTCATGTCACCAGCACCAGCACAAAACCACTTGACAGATGTAGGAACTGAGGTTGAAGGAGTAACAAGATTCTTGAAAGAATCACCTAACTTCTCTGGAGGGAGCTAGCAGTCCTCAGCCCGAAGTTGTCATCTGTCCCCAGCTACCTTCTGCCTATAATGTTGCTGAAACTCTTGGTTATCATGATAAAGTCTGTGTGCAAAGTGGCTCTGAAGGGGGAAGAGAGCTTCCTGAAGGTCTTTGCTGATTTATTTATTCATTCCTTGGCAAAAACAATATAAAAAAAAACCCACTGGAACTTAAAGACTCAATTTCTTCCTATAAAAAATTTTTTTCCACAGGTTTGAAGTATTAAGATGTTATCAATATTTTTTTTCTTCTTCTTTTAAGCAAAATACAACTCTAAAACAGTGACAGAACCATGACACAAATATGGCTTTATCATCTGATATTCACTCAAGTATTGAAACTGCTTGATTGGGCAGTAATTCTCTTTGCATCCTTAGGAAGCAATCCGCCAACCAAGTCATAAAGCCATGCCAGAGTATCACCAGTCAAGCCTCACCAGTGGTTTCAACAACAATCCTGACATGGAGACTGGAAAAATAAAGCAGTCTACCCTTCAAAAACTGGCCTTGCAGGTGTTAGGCCAAGATGACAGGACAAATATTGATAAGATGAAAATCTCTGCATGACTCTGAATATCCTAAAACCAAAATAAATATCCCACTCATCTCAAACCACTCACTGTCAATAAACACTTTCTAGTTCAGTAGAGGTGTTTAGAAAACTTCTTACAGTTGATTATAGGTTTTCAACTCTATCATCCTGACTCACAGCTGTAAGCAGTTCCCTCCCCACCCATGGGCTCAGTGGTGGGTACCTCATTCAGGGCTTCCCCTCCTGCCTCTCCTCGAGCCTCCCCAGTCTGTGCTTTCCGAACCTTCTCAGCAGACCCTGGCCTTGAGTTTGGATCTAGGCCTCAGTTTCAGTTCCTTGTTTCCAGGTCGATGGTTTGCTGGAGCCTGGACTTAGATGTTCCTGTGTCCACATCCACAGTTGGGGGCCTACTTCGCTTTCCCCTTCCCCTCAGACCCCCTAACCACACTGGAGTCCAAGACCTCCTACTCACCCAGGGGTGAAGGCTGTCATTAGCAGAAAACTCCCCAGGAGCAGGGACCTTGGCTGTCCTGTTCACCGCCACATCCCTGTGGCTGAGCGGTGCTTGCTGGCTCACTGCACCACTTGTTAAGTATTTGCTGAATGAATGAAGGAGCCTCATTAGACAATCTCACAGCACTTCTTACTGCCAACACAAACTCATCTTTTGGCCTGTGTTTCCCCCCAGGGCCATCTAGTGACTTGTTGACAAAGTTTTAAGTCCAACCATCTACACACAAATCTTGCTACAAGCTGCCAGCACCACCCCATCTCCCACTTCTCTCCAGGTGACACATTCACTGCCCGATGAGCCAGTTATTTGACTTGTCTTATGCCTATTCCAGGTGGTTCCAAGTTCCTGGAATACCTTACCTACTACGATCTCACCCTATTCACTCTGCTGCCTCTCAAGAAAAATGCTCTATAATGTACTTACACTTATTCCAGTGATGCCATCATTCCTCAAAGTACTCCAGAAACACCTCTTTTAGGGCTTTCAGAGCCAGTTACAAATAATGGCTTATTGCTGCTATTTCTTTTATCTGACCAAAAACCTTACTCATCAGATTTGATGCCAAATGATGCTGGCGATTTCCTAAATTTAAAGCTCAGGTCGAGGACCAAAGTTGTTCATTACTCTAATTACCCATGTAGTATTTCTCTCCCAGCTGGACTTACAAAAGGTGGTGACAGAGTCTATTTATGTTATTGACTCCACTCCCCTAGCACAGTGCCTGATACACTGTAGATACACAACTGATCACTGGTGAGTGAAACAATGATCTGAAGACCTTCCTAAAAGCGTTTTCTTTGATTCAAACAATACCTGCTTGGCACTGCTAGATGCTAAGAATATAGAGATAAGAAAAAAAAGTAAAAAAAAAAATATCTTCTTTAAGGAGTTTCAAGTCTAAGGGGGAGGGGACTTTAAAGGGAAAGAAAACTAACTATTATTTATAGTCAACTCTTCTGTAACAGGCACATATATTATTTCATTTCAATTTCCCAGCAATCAAATAAGCGTACATTTTAATTCCCTTTTTTTTAAAGACTAAGAAATTGGGATTCAGCAATGTTATATAACTTGCATAATGTTAATAGGTGGCAGGCCAGTCTCTGAACCCAGAGCCTTTGGACAACAAAACCTAGGTCCTTCCTTGCACAACACCAAGCAAGGCGTGTACAACTGTCTTGTAAGTGACTACTTTTGAAACTCTGAAGGGGACCAGACTTACATGGATATTTGAGTGCTGGGATGGGTGTACCCTTTTTCAGCCTTACCCCATACTACTCCAGAAATCACATTAGGTGACACACCAACTCATCTCACTGAGAAGTAGTCCAAAGACCAGCTCCCTTGCCCTAATTGCTACCTGCATCAAGAAGCAAGGCTTGATTAATCGGAGGTCCATAACCTCCATTCTGTGCTGATCTCGAAGGTATTTTAGTGTAGAAGTTGCCATGTGAATGTTGGTGGACATTCAAATGCCTTCAGAGGGGATAAGTGGATTAACCAGCAGATAAGCACTGGAACATGTGGAATTGGAGGCTTGTGAGCAGGAATTAGTGTCACTACAAGGGCCACCTTTGGGACACATGCTATAAATTACCATGACATTCTGCCCATTCCTACTGAGGAAAAGATGAGGAATGGAGCCTTTCAAATTTCATTTCAGAGACAAAAATTTCGTATTATCACACACACACACAAAAAACACACACTAGACTCTAGGGAACATGTTTTCCTTGCCCCTAGATTTCTTCATTTCTAAATATATTTTTGAGCAGTGCAGAGTGGTGGATAAGAGCTATAGCTTCATCTATAAAATGGATAATAACACTGGCTCTACTTTAAAGGTTGTAAGGATTGAAGGAGATAATACATTAAAAGTTAGCATGGGGCCTGGCGCAGTTTAATAACTATCAATGACAAGTATATGTGTCAGCATGTGGCAGATCTGAAGGACATACAGAGATACACACATAGATACGGTCATTTCTGAAATGGCTTCATGGCTCCATCTGTGGTAGGCTCAAGATATCACATAATTACATAGAGAACTATGTGAAAAAAGACATGATGCTCATGTAAAACTATTATCTGTTATAGAGCTTAAATCGCTTTTGAGTGCCTTTACAAATCATGGTTTTAAGCAAGGGGGGTGGAGGGGATGAGACAATGGTAATCAAAAGATTCGATTCTTATAAAGATGCTGCCTGTAGGAGAAGTGGCCACTGCCAGGTCTGCATGTCCTGGCATGACCAGATAATCCATTTGTCTGGACCGGGTAGATACTCAATGAGAGATATTTCATGTAATTACTGTAACATTAAGACCCATAGTCTGTCCAAAGGGAAAAGTTGCATTTTCTTCTTTTGAGTAAAATACTAGTGACCACATGAAACACCAAGTGGTTTTCCGGCTGTCCACTACAATAGGTGCATCAGGTCGGCTTTCAACGCCAGCTTCACCTGGATTTACAGATCAATCCCTCATTACCATCAAGCACAGGGGCGGGTGTGGGGAAGGTGCCCGTCTTGCTCTAATAATGAACACATTTCATTTCTTGCATGGAGGTAACTGGTTCTTTGTTAATGACACCTCCTTCCCAATTGGTTCCATAAGCACTCAGGGGCAGCGTGGCCTCATGTGAATTGTTAGGAGGAGAGTCTGGTATGATTATTCCATCAGAACCTACTCACCGTGTACTTGCTCTCCTTTACTTACAACCTTTTCTGTAACCTCGGAAATTAAACAGAGGGGGAAGAAGGAAAACAAGGTGACATGTCAAGGAGCCTGGGGTAGGCGGAAGGGCTAAGGGAAAATGGAGAGGTAAATAAAATATATTCAGCACCTTCCATGTGCCAGACACTTAGGATATGATAGCTTTCTGTTTTATAAGTGAAAAAATAAACAAGTCTCAGCAAGCTTAAAGAACTTGTTTTCCAGTGTCATACAAGAAGTGGTGCGAGGAGTTGAATCAAGCCGGGTCAGGTTCCTGAGCCATGATCCTTCTACGTTTTCTCCCCAAAATGAGGAGTAGGGATCTTTGACAAAATGAACATGGTACTTCCATGGAATCATGGGAGGTAGTAAAGAATAAGTTAGACAGCTTTTGAAAGTTCTAGTGTTTCACATGATGATTGCAAACCTGGAGTGGGGCAATTTGGATATTCTGACACTCGGGGTAATGTATATAGGCCCAGTGTCAGGATTGTTCCAGGTCCCCTGTCGGCAGGAAAAGGCAGGGAGCACCTGGAGAAGCATGGCGGCCTACTGCCTCCCTGACACTGACAAAGCACTGCGTGCAAACGACACAGTGTAAGATGGCAGAGAACCATGGGGCGGGACATCATGGGTGGAAATGCGCTGAGTATGGAAAAGGATTTGTACTTGAAGGAAAATACCCTCCTTGTGAGCAGAGTTTATTCAAAAAGATGGAGTCTGTTTCCTTTTTGACCTCTCCTGCTTCCTGCTTCTTTCCTCACAGTAAGTTTGAATAGAAAGGGGCCCCAGGAATCGAGACCAGTATCCTCATTTCTCAGATGAAAAATCTGAGACCCACAGAAGTATCTGAAATCACACTTCTTGTTTCAAAAATCAGGTAGGTATCAGTTCCTGTTTTCGTTTTTCACTGTATACTGGAGTAAAGGGAGACAGAGTAGACAAAACAACAACGAACAATAAAAACCAAGAAACCAGAAATTTTCCTTTGTAGACATAAAGATATCCCTACTTAATCTCGAATTCCCCTAACTCTAGGACGGTGGGTGTGTTTTGAATCTTTTTCTACCAGGTGGCATTAAAAAAATGTGTACTGCATCATCCACAAACTATTGCCTACGCCATTTCTAAAGCACCTGATCGGGTGGAAGGTAAGGACTATGGGATGGAAGGATTCTCTTTATGCAGGAAAGATTCTCTCCCTGCCCTGGTCGCCTTCTTGGCTATGACCAACCGTCCTGGTTTGCCTGGGACTGAGGGGGATTCTGGGATGTGGGATTTCAGGGTTAAAACCAGAAAGTCCCAGGGAAACAGGACAAGTAGGTCCCCTTATTGCCTTCAGTAGGGCCACGTTCTCAACTGCGCTAAAGGACCCAGACAGATAAAATGCATTTAGCTGGAAGTTTTAACTGGTCTGACACCAGCTACATGGTAGTTAACAGTTGACATTTTTAAGAAGCAGGATGAAGATTAATGACTATAAAGGGTGCTGAGCCCTTGGGGAGGAAGGTATTCTCAAAGTAGGAAGTGTTAAGTCCATAAAAGAAACAATATGAGAATGCAGTGGGGCTTTTTCATACCTAACAAGTATGACTAAACCTCTAAACACTTCCTGTTCTGTCCTATGTTTTTCTGAAATTTGCTTTTCCTTATCGGCCAAGAAGGTAGGAGAAAAGAGAATCTGTCCTCTCTTCTCTTCTTAAGAATGACAGCAGGGAATTTCACAACCTCCAAAGACTTCTAGCTTAGCAAGCCCTTGCTTTCATATACAAATATTATTGGAAAACAAACAGCACTCACTTTTCTCCATAAGGATCCTAACTTCTGGCTACATGTCATTCTGGGTGAGGATACTAGTAAACCACCTGATTAGGAGAGTACCCATTCATTCAGCCATCTAGTTGTATTTTGTACCAGAATTTGTTGTTAAACTGTGCTAAGTGCTTATACTACAACACTAAATAGGGAGAACATGTTTTTATTTCATACATTACAGTATCCTAAAGCTCAAAAAGTGCCTTTTTAGATTTATGCATGAGTCTCATTGCTGTGGAGGAAGAGAGCCACTCCCAACATAAAATTTCACCATTACATGGTTTCTCCCAGGCAGTACTTCCTATTCAAAAAGAGCAGTGCCACAAAAGGCGGTCTCCCTTTCACCATTTCTGGGTCACCAAATACACTGGAGGCACTCGGCCTAGAATGGGGGAGAAACAATGGGAACCGAGGAGGGGTTACACCAGGGCACATGCCAATAGTTCTCAATAGCCCAACGCTGCCCTGTAGTCATACATATTTGGGCAAAACATTCTCCCACCTTTTCCCAGTTTCTAGAAGTATGATTTGAATAATATAAAGTAATATCTAGGGAAGGCTAATATTCTGTGGGGCTCAGGGACCATGGGAAAGGC